GCTTTGTCCCTTCATGCTCCCCAACCAGCCAGGAATGGTGCATCCTAAAGGAGATGAAGATGAACTGTATGTTGATATGAATATATGTAATATATAAGAAAGTATTCATTTTATTCAGGATGCGTGATCAAAGGATGCATTAAAGTGATCAAAAGTGACAGCAAACACATTAATAATGTTTCAAAAGATTTATATTTTAAATAAATGCTGTTTTTTAACTTTCTATTCATCAAAGAATCCCCTAAAAAAAATGTATCATGGTTTCCACAAAAATATTAAGTAGCACAACTTTTCTCAAGTTTGATAACAATAAGAAATGTTTCTTGAGCAGCAAATCAGCAGAACACTTTAAAAACATACCAGCCCTAAATTTTGAATGCTAGTATATGATAAAAGCTTGGAAGTGATTGGATGTACTACAGTTAGTGCATTGATTTGTTGATGTTATATGTGTGTTGTAGGTGTATCCTCTGTGGCTTTGTCCCTTCATGCTCCCCAACCAGCCAGGAATGGTGCATCCTAAAGGAGATGAAGATGAACTGTATGTTGATATCGGAGCGTATGGGGAGCCCAAAGTCAAACACTTTGAGGCCAGATCATCCACACGGCAGCTAGAGAATTTTGTCAGAGATGTTCATGGGTCTGTTATCTCTTTTCACCTTTCCACTGTTTGGTAGAACCATGTTTATAAAAATTAGGCCAAAGTTCAACAACCGGTTTATAGAATTCAGTAAAATTGTCTGTGGAAAAAGGTCTTTAAAATGTAATAGTTGAAGTAATACTGTAGAGTATTGTATAACACAAGTCCTTCCTTCCATTTCTAGATTCCAGATGCTGTATGCTGATGTATACATGGAACGACAGGAATTCTGGGAGATGTTCGATGGCACATTGTATCATAAACTGAGAAAGCAACTCAACTGTGAAAATGCATTTCCTGAAGTCTATGACAAAATCTGCAAGTCCGCAAGACACTGAATCCAACCAAACCTGAAAGATGCCCAGTAGAACAGCTGAAAAAAACTGTACAACCCCTTTGTTAAAGTAAATTAGCATATTGGGGCAGATGCACTTAAAGGACAAATACTTTTATTTTACGAAGGAGCACCAGCTAAATTTTCAACCCCCTTGTCATACGTCTATGTTTAAAGGGGTCATATGATGCTGCTAAAAAGAACATTATTTTGTGTATTTGGTGTAATGAAATGTGTTTATGCGGTTTAAGGTTAAAAAAACACATTATTTTCCACATACTGTACATTATTGTTTCTCCTCTATGCCCCGCCTTTCTGAAACGTGTCGATTTTTACAAAGCTCATCGGTCTGAAAAGCGAGGTGTGCTCTGATTGGCCAGCTATCCAGTTGTAACACTCCAAAGAGAAATGAAAAATTGAAATCGAATCATATGATCCCTTTAAGCCAAAAAGTAAAGGCCCTTATTATTCCTAAGGTTTAACACGTGATTAGATTCATTAAAACAATATATACTGCTTAACAGACAGTTTATGTGCATTCAGATGTGAATAAATATAAACTATAAATGAAACTATCTCAGAGTATGTTGACCAATGATCTGTTAAGCATTATATCTATAAAAAAAAAAGTTTTAATAAAAGAGTTACCAATGATTATTTAAAAAAAATATATATTTAAGAAGATATTCTCTATTTTCCTACATTGTGAATGTTGTCTACCTCAACACAAAATGTCTTAATATCTAACACAGTGATTTATTTTGGAGGTGTATACAAAGGGATATTTTATCTACTAAAATCATTAGAGCACTTCTTTATGTAAGCCTGGCACAAATTAGTACAAATAGTTTTAAATAAAATACAAATAGTATTTGTTTTTGACCTGTAACGTACCACTTTTTATTCTAAAGTACATATATTTGTTCTAATTATGGATTTACTTTTGTCATTAGTACAGTTATTGTTGATTACATGTAGATTAGGATATTTTAGGTCTATAAACAAAACAATAACAGTATTCATATCTGTGGCCTTCTGAACTTGTTTTTGCCCTTTTATACTGTGTTCACAATATATTTCTGTATTTGTATTTTCAGTGTAGTTAGCAGTCTCTACAAACCCATTAAAATGAATAATTGAACTCGTCTACAGACTGCTGTGCTGTCAATAACAGTGAATTTGGCTTTGATCATCATAAAAATCTTCAATGAATCTCTAATAATGGAGCTTTTGGAGAGTTTTCCTGCTTTTTATGGTGGTGCTTAAAGTGTAATGGTTGGGTTGGAGTGGATTCATGGCTGAGGAACATATGCTATAAAAAACAATCATCCATCTGCTCCATTTGAACATTAACGCCTCCCAGTCTCTCCCTGTAACGTGATGCAGGCACATTATGATAATACCTTGTTCAGCAATCATTTCCATGTCATATTAATTGACATCCTTGCTTCAAGAGAACATTTTTCTCTTTTTGGTTTTCTATTTTTGGCAACCTTATCAATATTCCCTAAAAGTTAACCATACAAATCTTAACTAATATTTATTATCAATCATCAAAATGTACATAAATGATTGAAAAACTCTTAAGGATTCTTTCTTACAGCATATATATATATATATATATATATATATATAGCACTGTAAGTTGCCTTGGATAAAAGTGTCTACTAAATGCATAAATTATTATTAAGTGTGATGCAAATTAAAGGTGTAAAGTCATGTTTGTTGCCCTTCCAGAGGCATTTATTTTATAGAACTATAGCACAAGCAAATGATTTCACAAAATGAAATTTGTTACTCTTGGTTACTGTGCTGTAGGTTCCTTGAGTTTGAAGGGTTAGAGATACGTGTTTTGTGCTGAGTGTGTTCAGTTACTGTTGATATAAGGGAAATACTGAGTGTCTGAATGCAAAGATGGTCATTTTCCCTTTGACTTCTGTCTCTTTTCCACCAAAGCTGCCAAAGAATCCCCATAGACAATAGAGAGTTTTGTGTATCACCTAGATAATATATTGTAATAAGCTGTTATATCATTATCCTGCCAAAAACTAAGCTATCATACAAATCTGTGATATATAGAATTATAATTATAATTATTACTATAGCTAAACTTGTTGGAATTCATTTATTGCAGCATCTGCATCATGCAAGCTTGGCCTAAGGTATCTTTTCTACACACATTTACAAACCCACTCACAGATGTTTGCATGAAGTTCCTAGTTTTTTAGGAATCACTGATTTTGTTCTCATTTAGTTGCACATAGTAATTGCTGTAATCTTATGCCCTGAACAATTGTTCATCAAAGCAGTGAGACAACAGTGAAGAAAGCGCCCAAGAGAATAAACCTGTCCTTTGCTTATTCACACTCATTAAATGCAAACCAATGACATGTTGAGCACTAATTAATCCACCAGTTTGAACATGCCATATAAAGCCACAGTGAGAGTGAATGCTGTGTTTATTTACAGTCAGAACAGCTATAATTAAGGACTTTATCAGCTAACTGGTCCTTTGTTGTGGCAAGCAACTGCTAACGTCAAATGTGTACAAAAATTATGTAAATATTTGTCAAAAAATAATCAAGTGGTTTACTTATTGTACTACTACTACTACTACTACTAATATAATTATTAATGAAATTAATAAAATAATATACTTTGAAAGAAATCCCAAACCTTACATTGAAATGTTTACATTTATTTATTTTTAAAGAAGTGCCTTATGCTCATCAAGGCTGCATTTATTTGATAAAAAAAACAGTAATGTTGTTATTACACACACACAAAGTATATTATTATTATTATGTTACTATCATTAGTGATTATTCAAGTAGTAGTACTAGTAGTAGTAGTAAACAAGTAAAACACATTGTAAAACACAATATTTTTGACAAGTATTTGGGACACAGGTAAAAAGTGTCTTTTTTTCTTGGTTAATTTATGGAATTCTATATATATATATATCACGTATCTTGTCAGTGTCTGCGCTTGCTTGGCCATTTGCTGCGGAGAAAATAAGGAAAGTGTGTTCAAGCGCCAGCAGAAAACAGTGTAAAGAAATAGTGGCAGCCGTCGCGTGAAGGCCTCCTCGTGGTAAGACCAAAGAGTGTAAAGACCAGTGTTGCCAAACCCCTCCCTCAGAAAATCTCTAGAACCACCCTCAAAAGTCTCCATTTTTCACAATTCTGTCTGTATAGGTCTTTTATTAAGTTTTTAGTTTTATTTAATTTGAGTTATTTTAATACTTCAACAAAATAATTGAAATGAAAATATATATATATTGAATTTATAAATGTGTATGTATATATACAGTATGTGTATGTGCAGTACAGTATGTGTGTGTGGTTGTACATACACATATAATGTAGTTGGTTTTTTGGTGTTTGGCTTAGTGTTATGTTAGAATCATTATTATACTCTTATACCTTTTGTTCTTTAATATTTTGAATTGTTTTTAGCTTTATTTTTTTGTTTTTCATTTAAATGTTAAGTTTTGAAATTTTGTTGTATGCATTTGTCATTTTTATTTAATCTCTTTATTTTTAAAATGTGTATAAGTAGTATTTATAAAGTTGTAGCTTTTAGTTTTGGATCTGTTTTTAGTTGTTTTAATACTATAATTGATTGCTTCTGTTGTCCTCATTTGTAAGTCGCTTTGGATAAAAGCGTCTGATAAATGACTAAATAAATAAATATATATATATATATAACTTCCGTTCTTCTTCTACTTTATATTATTATCACTGATTTTGTCCATTCACACCCATTAAATACAGACATGGAAACGGTCCGTATTTAATGGGTGTGAATAAATATTGGGACAGGTTCGGGTTAGATGGGTTAGGGTTAGATCATATGCCTTGTTTTTATAACTAGCTTTATATAAAACAATACATGTCTTTTGTTCCTTATTTAGAAAATTAAACGCTTAAACGTGCGTGTGTGTGTGTGTTTATAAATGTACAAGAGACACGTTTTCTTTCATCAATAATTACCGTAATCAAGAAAACCCGTCTACATAAAGCACGCCCATCAGTATACAAAACCACGCCCAACAATAGCGACAACATCCACAAACCACCAAACCTGCTTTGATCGCCGAGTACGCATAAACCCCGCCCACCGGTCTGACCCAGTCCGAGAGCTACCGCCGCTGCATACCGGTTCCTCCTTTATCGTACATTTATGGTGTTGCTACTGGCCGTGACGCGCAACCGTCCACCGACGATTTACACAGTCACGGGTGATCGTCCGGTAAGTAGATCGACATCATGGTGACAGCATGTAGTAGTAATGATATCCAGTCTTTCATAATCTAGGTGTAGCTTTCACACGAGTGCTCTGTCTTGTACTTTGGTGCCAGTTCAAACAGCAAAGGACTTTCCTCTGTTGGAGAGAGTCGCTGTGCTTAATCTTAAACTTTGGAGGTTTGTACACCGTGGCTGTGTCTCAACAACTAGTGAGCCGCCTATATAGACAGCACTATTGGCGGCATTACAGGCGCGTGCTTACTTAAAAGGAGCCAAAGATGCAGTATAGGTAGGCAGCCCAGTAGGTTTTGAGACACAGCCCACATTCTGGACATAGCGAATCAGCCTGTTTTCTCCCTGCACAATCCCTGCGTTCCATTCGGAAGAGCTCATCCCTATGCCCTAATCCCTTAAAGGGGTCATATGATGCGATTTCAAGATTTCCTTTCTCTTTGGAGTGTTACAAGCTGATTGTGCATAGATAAGATCCCTGAAGTTGCAAAGACTAAAGGTGACTGTGAAACATCAGCTCCAGTGGCGCAGATGGATAAGTGCGTGCTCATGGCTTTTTGACGCGATCGACCCGGGTTCGATCCCGCATTTTGCCGAACTTTTTTTTTCTCCCTTTTCAAATCTCGTATTAGCAGTTTACCCTACGGAGTGAGAGCTTCGAAGGGGTGAAGGGTGTAGGGGACCAAACAACTGTTTCTTGAAGTGCCCTTCTGCGTCATCATCACGTGCACACACGGAGGCGCCGTCATCATTCAAAGAATCTGCGCAAAGGATCATGGGAGCCCGAAGTGTCCATCAGTTGTACCCTTCGAAATCCTTCATTCCGTCAAGGAACGCACCGAATAAGTGCTAGACTACTGCATTCACGCTTACCATTCTTAAAGCGACAGTTTACCCAAAAATGAACATTTGTTATATACCCCTATGTCTTGTATGACTTTTTCTGTGGAACACAAAACATACTAGTTTAGATTGACAGCCTCTGTCATCTTTCACTTTATAGGCATATTTTTCCTTACAATGGAAGTGAATGGTGACTGGTGTCAAGGTTGCCAAGCCCCCTTTTTTTCCCGCGAGTTAAAGGTTTTACACACTGCATAAATTATAATTAACTTAAATGCTCGTATTGAAATATTTAATCCATTTTATGTGGATTTCTGTGCCTGACGACGAGGCAGACTAAGGAGATTTTGATGTGAGGAAGGTGAATTGGTAGTAGTCTTTGAGCTCTTGTGAGCTCTTTTTTTTAATAGTCTGTTTTTATGATTACTACTAGCCTATATAGTGATTTTGTATATATAATGATGTGTGTAATGTGTAACAGTGACTGTAAAATGTATATTTTAGACATGGAAGCTGCATATTTTTAGTTTTGATGTTTGGGCTAGTTTTGATTGGCCATTGGGCTAGTTTTTTTTTTTTGCTCAGATCTGGCAACCATGACTGGGGTTGTCATTCAGTGACAGAATTTTCTTTTTTGGGCGGGGGTTGAACAATACTTTTTTTAAAAATTGCTTTTACCTTTTCAGTGTATTTTCCATTTGTCTTGTTGCTTTGCTACCACCACACAATAGTTTGTAGTCAGAGTGCCTGATATGATTTATATTAGGTGGCAGATTTTATTTTTTTTTTGCTTGTTCCATTATGGTATGCCCTGTTAGTCATGTGGGTGAAAGGTGATCGCCTCCACCTCTTTTGTTTATTACTGCAGGGTGTGTTTTGTAGTGTGCATAAAGTAAATGTCTTAAGACTTGTTTAACATATTAAAACTGTTATGACCTCTGAGTCTTGCATAAACCTTGTGTGATGTAAGAACAATAAGGCAGATGGCATTTTTGTGTCACACCTTTAAACAGCATAGTGACAGTGAGTGAGGGAGGTGAAAGACGATAGCGTGCCTGTCACAATGTCTACAGACAGAGAGCCTCCCGTCACCTCCAAACTCCTTCACCTCATGTTTCTCTCCACCTTCTGGGGAATGCAGATATGGGTCACCTTCATATCAGGTAGGTGTGGTCACGGTTTTTCATTGCATTTCATTGATGATAGATCATTAATAGAATGATTTTAGTGTAGGCTACTTCAAATCTTAAAGTATATTTAAGAAAGTTATTTAAAAAAAAAAAAATCTGTACTTGCAGGTAATATAATATTAATGAAAGGCCACTTAAAGAGAGTACACTTTTACTTTAAAGTATAATATAAATCATTATGTTTTATCTTTTGTCATTCTTTAAAGAAATACACTTTTTTTTAGATGTGTTAACTAACATACTAAAGCACAAGTACTTCATTATAATTTTAACTGTATATTACATTTATCGTTCATATTTACAGTGCACAGCATAAATGAGTACACCCCCTCTGAAACTTAACAAATTCAGCAATTACTCTTTGCTTAGAAGACATGTTATGTTTTTTTTAGAGATCTAATATTCCAGCAAGTCTGCTTGATCAGTTACCAAAGAAGAATGTTAAAATTATTCAAGAAAATACCATTTTCTTATCAAAGTGATACAGTGTTGTGTTGCAAAAATGAGTACACCCTCCTGAAAGTTACTAAATAAATTATATTTTAGTTTACCGTAAATGCTTGTTTGTATATTCGGCAGTACACTTTAACCATATATCAAAGACAATAGAAGTAATTACACATAAAGATGTACTTAAGTTGGTCAACAATGCACTCTAACACTTTAGCACTCTAACCAATTGCATTTAAAATAAATTTGAACTATTATATATTTTTATTTAATTGTAAATTGCAGATAAGTGTCTGAAGACCTTAGATTCAGTTTGCACTCAGGCATATTCTTTCAAGGTATATTATTTCCATAACAAGTACTATTTTTAAAAGTATGCTGAAGTGTACTTTTTTTTTTTTAACGAGGATAGTTTTATACATGAAACTAGTACAGTATTCTGTTATAAACAAGGTTTATGATATGCTTAAGGTTAACTTAATTTAATTTTTTTGTTCAGGCTTTGTAATGGACAGCCATCTAAACCGACACACGTTTGGCTTCATCAAGAGCCGGCTCTTCCCGTTATACCTGCACATCGGCTCAGCCTGCGCTTTCTTCAACCTCACAATCTTTGCCATGTACCATCCTAGCAACATGCTCAATGACAAAGAGGCCTTCCAGGTATTCAGAACATAATGTTCCCAGATATTCTGAAAAGATGTTATTTGAATAGTTCACGCAAAAATGATGACTATCATGTCATTCCAAACCTGTAGAATTTCTATTCTTCTGTGGAACAAAAAAGGAGATATTTTGAAAAAATAGAGCTCCAAATTTGTATTATTATCTGACAATTCCTTTAGCTTTAGGTGAGCTGAAAACCAATGTGACTGAATCTTTGGCTTGAACTTGAGGACTGGATCAGTTTGAATTATGAATAAATCAGTGGTTTTGTTGGATCAACTCATTCTCTGACTAAAATCAGATTCAAAAGAAAGATTTATTCATGAATTGAGCATTTTTAGTTCTCTCATGAATGTGCACGTTATAGGAATAGTTCGCCTAAAAATTAAAATTGGCTGAAAATGTACTCATTCTCAGGCTGTCCAAGATATAAATGAGTTTGTTACTTCATTGGAACCGATTTGGAGAAATGTAGCATTACATTACTTGCTCACCAATGGGTCCTCTGCAGTGAATGGGTGCCGTCAGAATGAGAGTCCAAACAGCTGATAAAAACATCACAATAATCCACAAGTAATCCACATGACTAGTCTATCAATTAATGTATTGTGCAGTGAAAAGCTGCATGTTTGTAAGAAACTAATTCATCATTAAGACATTTTTAACTTCAAACCATTGCTTCCAGCCAAAATATGAGTCCTCTATCCATAATCCTGCTTTCTCCAGTGAAAAAGTTGCCTCGTCTGAATCAGGAGAGAAATATGCACAGATCAAGCACCGTTTACAAGCCAAAACAGTTTTAAATTAATATGTTAGTGGATTTTGATATGAGAGGACAACGCTATTTGGAGGGGTGTGGATTACTTGTGGATTATAGTGATGTTTTAAATCAGATGTTTGGACTCTCATTCTGACGGCACCCATTCACTGCAGAGGATCCATTGGTGAGCAAGTGATGTAATGCTTAATTTCTCCAAATCTGTTCCGAGAAAGAAACAAACTCAACTACATCTTGGACGGCCTGAGTGTGAGTACATTTTCAGCAAATTTTTAGATTAACTATTAGGTGAACTGTTTCTCACACAAAGCTAGTATATCCTATATCCTATACTTGTGAACTAACCTTTTAACCTTTATGTAAGGTAACAGACTCTCTTGATTCCACCAGCTTTCTGTTTTTTCCCCCAGATCTTCATTTTTTTCGTCTGTGTGACCGTGGCGGCAGTGAATGCCCAGTGGTTTGGTCAGATGACCTCGGGAATCATGGCAGACATGCACCTGATTGAGCAGGCCTGTGGATTGGGTCAGGACATCGGACTCTCATCCAATCGGGAAGCATATGCCAAGCTCTGCCAGACAGATCCCAAGTATAAAAAGCTGAGTGGTCGGCTGTGGCTGTATCACCTGCTGTCCTCCCTTTGTAACCTCTGCTGTATCGTATGTAATGGATACAGCCTATATTACCTGGCAGAAAACCTCACCACCCTCTGATGACCTTCCTGCAACATAGTGGAGTTATACTTCCACAATGCAATGCAAACCCTTGGTTAACGTCTGTGTGACTCCGGCAGCGATGACCTGCTCTCAGATACTGGATTACCTCCTGACAAATCTGGTTATTATTGTTACGGATTGTCTTTTTTAATCTTTGTTGTGCTAGTTTTAGTTTAGATATATGATTTATAGAGATTTTTATAGATAAGATATAGATGAGATTTTTTTGTAAATGTTACAGATAATGGCTGTGCATATTGAAATTATAAGATGTTACACTTTGCATGGTTGAGGAATGAGGAAAAACTGATATGCGAGTATAAATGAACAAAAATGGGAAGTGGAAGGGGCATTTTCAAAACCTTTCTCGACATTCTAGAAATTATGGCACATACTTTCTGTTTTCTCAACAAAGGCAACCTCACTCTGTCACAAATTAGTCAAATTATTTGATTTCTCTTTCAACGGCCAGCCTCACCCTGTTCTCCTGGAATGGGTCTGAATGTATCAACATGTTCGCGCACAATCTCTCATTATAAGTACACTTCCACATTTGAACAGGGATGAATATGCAAATTATGCTCTCATCTGGCTGTAGATTTAGAATTCTGTTGCTGTTTGTTGAAATAGAGCTTAAATTAAATGCACCCAGCACCAGTTGCACCACAGAATGTGATTATGCATGTTATACAAGTATTTTTTAATGACTCACAAACACATTCTTTTTTTTATACTGATTAACAGTGCATATAGTATTTAATCAGTGCACTGGATACAGCTGTGACTGTCCACTCAGAGCTAATATAGTCTAATATGTGCCTAATATATTAAAAATTAGAATATAAAATTATTTGTTTTAATTAAGTATAAAATTAATATTAAATGTGTTTATATATATATATTATTTACGCTACTACTGTTATTCATACTATATTTCTGTTCAGAAATTTGTGGTCAGTAAGTTTTTTTTTTTCTTTAAGAAATTAGTGTTTTTATTCAGCAAGGACACAATTGATCAAAGTGGCATTTATAATGTTACAAAAGATTTCTGTTTGAAACAAATGCTGCTCTTTTGAACTTTCTATTCATCAAAGAATTCTGGAAGAATTTTGTCAGTTTCCACTAAAATACTTTTTCAATAATACAGTTCCTTTCAACATGGATATGTTTTTTTTTTAGCACCAAATCAGCATATTAGAATTATTTCTGTAGGATCATGTGACACTGAATCCTTCGGCTTTGCCTTCACAGGAATAAATTACATTTTTAAATGCATAAAAAGAGAATACATTTATTTTAGATATTTATTTTTAAATCAAATAAATGCAGCCTTATTAAGCGTAAGATGTTTCAAAAAACATTAAAAATCTTACCGACCCCGAACTTTTGCACATATAGTTATGTCAGCCTGAGTTATGAATTAAGTTTAATATTTTAAATTGTGGCAAATATGCTGGTAAGACACATTTACAGGTGTACTCTATCTGAATCCATCAAGTTGATCTTTGCTGTGAGAGATTCAACACGAACCAGTTTATGTCCTGTTTGACCGCTTTTGCACACTGTGCCTTTTGCAGATGTTAAGCAACAACAAACCGGACTTGCTGGGTGTACATGACACATTGTGTGTTGCAGAGTCATGCCATTGGTCAAACACATGTGATGTGCCTAACTAATGTGTTAGTCATATAAAATTGTGTGTATTCAGATATAAAGCACTATTGTTATAATGGCGACACCTTACTTTGGAATGTAGCTTCTGTTTTCAGTCGCCTTACACAATCTGCTGTCTGGCCATCATATTTTTGTATCTTCATATCAGTTACAGTACAGTGCCTTGCATAGAGATATCTTTCAGTTTTAATACTGTTATGACTGTGTCCAGTAAGATGCTGGTGAGGCTATAGGTTTGTCCCTGTAATTGAGGATTGACTATATTTTATCAATGCAAATGAACCGGCAGCTACGGACCCTCTGTTAATGGTTATGTTTACTATATTTAACTTAAAATGTCATCTAGTAAAACATATGGTCAATAGAATGAAATGCATAGATTTGTGCTTAATACTGTGTTATTAAAGTTCCATTCATTTTTAGCTGAAATTTCATTCCTGTCTGCGTATGTAAATGAAGTAGTAGATGAAGAAAATGTAGCATTATCAGGTTTTCTGCCTGAATAAAAGGAAATTGCAATTTATACTGCATCACTTTAAGTAAAGCTGAAGTATGTGTTTTTTTATATTAAACAGCACAGTGAACGTTAATGTGAAAAGCAACCAGCCTGACACAGCAACATTGGTTCATCTATTGTGTGAATGACTGTTATCTATTTGTCTGTTTGACCAGTAACAGATTAGGGATGTTTGGGCAATCTGTTTGAAAACAGTTATTTTTGCAATTCCATTTGTGCAGAAATTACACATTGCCTTCAAGAATGAAGACTAATGTCTGAATTTGTGATGAATGTAAAGCTGTTGCAGTTCTGCTGTGAAATGTATGGAAATGGGTTGAATGTTTTTTTTTTTTCAAATAAATTTTAAAATTGTGTTAAGATTCTTATGTTTTTTGTTCATTAACAGGTTCGCACTGTGAATGTTAAATGTCAAGGAGACTCTGGAACTGGAGTTAAATATTTTACTGGCATATAATTCAAATATATATTTACAAACAACTACAAAAGCACTAAAATAAGAACATTTAGTAAATATAGGTGCACTTATTTTATAAAACAGATAGTTCTGGTTCCAGAAAATGATTGGTAAATTCATCAGTTTGTGACTGATATTTAACCGCACTATTTATGACCACCAGTGAGGGTTACGCTCTTGAAATTAAGGTTCTTTACTGGAATTGATGGTTCCATGAAGAACCTTTAACATTCCACTGAACAAAAGGTTCTTTAGATTTGGGGAAATAAATATTCTTTTAAGATCTGTTCACTGAAAGGTTGTTTGGAGAACCAAAAATGGTTCTCTAATGGCATTGCTGCAAAAACCCCCTTTATTTTTGAGTGATAAGGTGGTGAATACAAAAACATTAACAGAGATACCAAAAAAAAATAAATAAAAAATTGATCGTTGTATTTTATCTATACCAGGTTCCAGAAAACATTTTTACAGTTAGCACAACCAGCCAAATCTAATATTCACAGAGAAAATGTAACTGCTTTACATGGTGGCGATATAGTATGAATTTGTATGTTGTGATATGTACAGAAACACACGATTTAAAAAAAACAAAACAAAAAACACTAACCTAACCATGAAGGTCTGCCCCCAACCCTATCAGTGGGACATAAGCAGATCATATGAAAACATACAAATGAATTAGCCACCAATTAGCCAAAACTAAAAATAATTCTTGCGAATGAATTGCAATGAGAGTGTGTTGGTCCTTTATGTGAAACTTTACAATAAGGTCCCATTAGTTAACAACATTAACTAAAAATGAGCATTTGTTACAGTATGTATTACGTTAAAATACAGATATATACAAATACAAATATAAAAATACAGCTGTTAATTGTTAGTTCATGTTAGCGCAGGCCATTAAATAATTTTAACAGATACAACTTTTGATTTTAGTATTATATTAGTAATTGATGAAATTAACATAAACTAAGACTTGTATAAGCTTTAGAAGCATTTTTATTGTTAGTTGAAGTGAACTAATGTAGTTAACTAATGTTAACCAATGGAACCTTATTGTAAAGTATTACCCATCCTCTAATACTTCATACATTTCTAATAACTGCTCAGGAACTGAATAAACTCCATTTCATGCCACTAAAGTGGATAACAAAGTCTCATACTAGACCCGGTGTTAATCCTGAAGCTAGGATAGAGCGGTTGAGTAAATGTAGTCCGAATGATGTGGATGAGATTCATTGAGTCTGTGATGCTGTAAAACGCCAAAATCCCTGCAGAGAAATCGACATAAACGCCAGTCCTGCCAGCCCACTGCATTTTGGAAATCTTAGTTTCCCGTCCATTGTGCCAGAATGCATACATATCCTCAGAGCACACCAGACTCCAGGACTGGGCGTTTTGTCCAAATGCACACAGGGTGCTCTTTCCTTTCCGAATTTGTATGTTGTGATATGTACAGAAACACGCGATTTAAAAAAAAACAAAAAACACTAACCTAACCATGAAGGTCTGCCCCCAACCCTATCAGTGGGACATAAGCAGATCATATGAAAACATACAAATGAATTAGCCACCAATTAGCCAAAACTAAAAATAATTCTTGCGAATGAATTGCAATGAGAGTGTGTTGGTCCTTTATGTGAAACTTTACAATAAGGTCCCATTAGTTAACAACATTAACTAAAAATGAGCATTTGTTACAGTATGTATTACGTTAAAATACAGATATATACAAATACAAATATAAAAATACAGCTGTTAATTGTTAGTTCATGTTAGCGCAGGCCATTAAATAATTTTAACAGATACAACTTTTGATTTTAGTATTATATTAGTAATTGATGAAATTAACATAAACTAAGACTTGTATAAGCTTTAGAAGCATTTTTATTGTTAGTTGAAGTGAACTAATGTAGTTAACTAATGTTAACCAATGGAACCTTATTGTAAAGTATTACCCATCCTCTAATACTTCATACATTTCTAATAACTGCTCAGGAACTGAATAAACTCCATTTCATGCCACTAAAGTGGATAACAAAGTCTCATACTAGACCCGGTGTTAATCCTGAAGCTAGGATAGAGCGGTTGAGTAAATGTAGTCCGAATGATGTGGATGAGATTCATTGAGTCTGTGATGCTGTAAAACGCCAAAATCCCTGCAGAGAAATCGACATAAACGCCAGTCCTGCCAGCCCACTGCATTTTGGAAATCTTAGTTTCCCGTCCATTGTGCCAGAATGCATACATATCCTCAGAGCACACCAGACTCCAGGACTGGGCGTTTTGTCCAAATGCACACAGGGTGCTCTTTCCTTTCCTGCTGATGTCCTCATAGGACACTGCAATGTGCACGGGACCCTTCCCGCTCCACTCTGCCTCGAAGTAACATCGGCCGGACACGCTCTCCCTGCACAGGACCTGGTAATAGCTGTCAAACCTCTCTGGGTGGTCAGGAACAGACAGAGAGGTTTTGCTGCACGTCACCTCTCCAGTCTCTGAGGAAACGCTGAGGTTTCTGTGAGCCGTGTTCAGGTCTAGAGTCAGGGGACCCGAATCTGAAATCCAGAGACACAAGACATGGATTAACATACACAGTAATTCTGTTGTCGATTGTGTTGTTTGCATGTGTGTGTGTGTTACTCACATTCCAAAAACTGCTCTCTGATTTTAGGTTCAGGGGTAGG